ATAACAGTAGCCTGGAGGACATAAGAGATTCTGTGGAGGACTTGGGGCTCGATGAGAAGCTCAACATGACTCAGTAGTGTGCACTTGCAGCCCAGAAAGCCAAATGTATCCTGGGCTGCATCAAAAGGAGTGTGACCAGCAGGTCCAGGGAGGTGATCCTGCCCCTCTACCCTGCTCTCATGAGACTTCACCTGGAGTATTGTGTGCTGTTCTGGTGTCCTCAACATAAAAAGGACATGGAACTGTTGGAACAAGTCCAGAGGAGGGCCACAAGGATGATCAGGGGACTGGAGCACCTCCCGTATGAAGACAGGCTGAGAAAGTTGGGGCTGGAGAAGAGAAGGCTGCGTGGAGACCTGAGCAGCTTTCCAGTATCTGAAGGGGGCCTACAGGGATGCTGGGGAGGGACTCTTCATAAGGGACTGTAGTGACAGGAGAAGGGGTAATGCGTTTAAACTTAAGGGAAGTTCAGGTTCAATATAAGGCAGAAGTTCTTACTGAAACATGAGTTTCTTATGCATGCTCCTCATATTCAGTTTTCCTCTTCGACAGGCTTCTGTCTTTGAGAAGCCAGGTAGAGTCTTGGATATCTCCTCACAAAGAATTTATCGAGGAACCTTGCTCTGTGTACAGTTCTTGTTACAGCACCCTGTTGTTGCTGACACCAGGCTGCAGCAAAGGTGTGAAACTGTTTACCATTTATTAAGAGATCCCAGCAGAAATTATTTTCCTGTTTGCATCCAATGTGTGTCTTGCCCTCTGACTTTCCTATTGCATCAGAGCTGTCAGTGAAATGTGGAGCAAACTATGTGTTATAAGGTTCATGGTCCAGCCACATCACGAATGACATTCCCACACAGACTCATGCCCTTCAGAATGCAAAACTGACAATAGCAATCTGTTTTAAATCTCTAAAAATACAAGTATTAGAGTGTAGGTAGTTAGGGCCTGGCGGCCGGAAGATATCGCGCTGTACGGAAAGATAAGGCCCCCTGTTTAATAGCCAATAGTATGTAGCCTGTGATGTAAGCAGACAGAAGTGACGCTGTAAACCCAGAGTATATAACGCTGTGTTGCGAACTAATAAACGCCATTTGCCATCCACCACACTGGTGTCTGTGAGCTGATGGCCCGAGCGGCCTGGGGTTGGTTGCCGTGCCGTTCCTGAACCAGGTCGCCACGCCTTGCGAAGGCAACAAGTGGTGCCGAAACCCGGGAAACTCGCCTGGACGGGTGAACAGCGGCCGGAGCGGCAGGACCGGCCCAGCACGGAGGACGCTCCCGGACCAACAAGGAAGATGGAAGCCCTTGTGAAGGTCGTATCACAGTTACATAAACAGTGGGGTATTGATTGCAAGTCTAAATATGTTTCTCTTGCTGTTGCGAGACTCTTGCAAATCGGGGTCATTGACCAGCTGGTGGATATACTCCACCCTGAAGCGTGGGATAAATGTACTAAAGTGCTAGCTGAGGAGACGAAGTCCTCAGGTTGTGGGAAAAGCCTTAAGTCCTGGGGAAAAGTCGAACGGGCCCTGCAGAAGGCAATAAAAGCGCAGGAGACCTGAAGGCGGCAAAGAACTGTTTATTGGCCACCCCTAAATTGGGAGTCGGGGCGGCCACACAGACTTTGCACTTCCCAGACGTCGATGATTCTGCTGAGCCCTGAACTTTTTACAGTGCTTTTTATAAAAGCGGGGAATTGAGCCTGAGACTCTAAAGCAGCTAGCAGGTCTAGTGGCTGTAGGGAAGGCTAAGGGATTTTTTGCAGATCCTAATACAATATTTGAGGAGAGTGAGTGGCGAAAGTTTGGTGATGAACTATTTGACTCAGTGCTTAATGATTATAAAAAGGCAAAGAAACTCGGTAAACCACGGAGGGAAGTAATAAACTGTATAAAAAGATACAAGGCAGAAAACTGCCGCGGTAGCAACGGAGAAACTAGGAACAGACGTCTAGGAAGATTACAACTCGTTCCCCCCAACTCGCGGGAGCACAGGGTTCCCCCCCCCCCCCCCTTTTCTCCTCCTCCATCAGAAGGTGCCGTGGAGGAGGTGTAACCCCCTGCTCCCCCACCACCCCAGTTCTGAAAGTAGGGACTTTGAAAAGGACAGAGAAAGCATATTAGAAGGTATACGTATGATAAATGTCGAGAAATCCGAAAGAGGGCAGTGCCTCGGAGCCGGATCGATTGCGGCGCCATTTTGAAGCACGCAGTAGAAAATAGGGATCATGCGCGAGCGGGAGATTTAAAGGAACCGCGAGCCTCTCCAACCCACTATGCCCTAGAGTGAAAAAACTTTTAACTCAGTCACGGAGGAGCCACGTCTGCAGATGGCCACATACCGAACGGGAGACACCTGATAAGAAAGACACAGCTGCAAGCAATGGAGACCCCGAGTTCGGCGCAGGATCAGCCCCCGAATCCGATCCAGATTTATATCCTCTTGTTATCAACATTCTAGACAATTTTGGTTTAAAGTATAAATTTTATTAAACTGAGTAAGCGATAGCAGATAAAACAGCGCTGGGTGCGCCGGGGAGTCCTCTGCTCCGCCCAAGACGCGCACACGCGGTCCCTGGGAGGCGGTCCTTTATCTTCTCCGGTTCAAGGCCCCGGCCAATCCTGTCGCCCCTCCTCACTCGGATGTTGACATGGCTCTTCCCCATTGGTTCCCTTTGTTGCAGGGGTCTCGTTTCGGGAAGTTTCGAGAAGCTGCCAGAGGCTTCGAGAAGCGTCCACTGGCAGCCTCCTCACCGTCGCAGCCCCCTCCCTTCAAGCGTTGCAACAAGACACCACTTCGAGCCACCCAGCCCCCTTTTCTCTCTCACAATCCCGCGCAACAATACAACTGATCTCCCCCCATTACCTACAGAGTACAACAGTTACAGAGTCAAAAGGAGTATTGTTTCACATAAGGACAGCCAGAGAGCCTCCCTCCCCCCAAACTTCTTGATGAACAAACCCCACACATTACACTCTGCTTCCAGACCCTGACTCTTCATCTCCCGCGTCGGTCTGCTCAGACTCACTGGCCCTGGAGACGCTCAGTTGTAACAATGTGTAACCGAGGATGCGAACATTACTGGGGAATTTTCTGCAATGGGCATCTTCGCATATCCTGTGTTTACTACGCAGCAGGGGGCTAAAGAGTGGGAAGCTCTTGATCTCAAAATAGTTAAGGAGGCCTGACAGTGACCGGGTATGTGTTAAAATCCTCTTATACTCAAGCCGTATATGTTATGATTTTTTCTTGCAGTTGACAGGGGGAGCCCATACAGTTTCTCTGTGATACTCATGTACTAGAACTTGGTAAATACAAGTATGTCCAGGTTTCTATCAACCCTTGGAGACCTCTGTAGATACTGCTGGCCACTTCTTCCAGCACAGGCTGGCCACCTGTGTCGGAATGAGTGTGCATTTTGGTCAGTATAAAAGCCCAAGCCTCATACGATGTGGGGGAGGCAGAGCCTCTGCGGGGACGCCCGCTAAGGTTGAGCCTGCCACCTCGCACTGCAATGATGCTTCTCGGAGCTGGTTTGCTATTAGTCTCCACAGGGTCCTTGTGCCACATTCTGTACGTGGGACTGTGTAGTGGGAGTAATAATTGTCTTTTTATGTTTCAAATATTGAACTTGTGTGGAGTGTGCTTGTGGGATCCCACACGTGTGTGTGTGTGTGTGTGTGTGTTGAGGGCAATCGGTGTTTTGTGTATTGTTGGGTTTATTGTAAAAGTTTTTAAGGGGTAGCTGTTTAACATTTTGGGCATGAAAGGGTTAATGTAAAAGTGTGGCTGCCGGCAGGTATTTATGGTTGCCGCTGAAGCGTGCAGGCGGCTGTAGCTGCTGCCGAGCAGGCCCGCTTTTGCAGGGATAAAAAAAACAAAAAACACAAAAAACACAAAAGGGGGGGGAGAGCAATGATGCAGCAAACTCCTCGCCAGTTAACAATGTTCAGTTTAACCTGTCTGCTTCTCAAGAACTGAAGAACTGATAACCTGGGGGAGGGGGTATATTTGTGTCCTCGTGCCTACAGGTCCATGGTGACTGCCTGCAAAGTTTGTCAAGCCTTGCCATGAGCTGGACAGACGAATGGAAAAACCTGATGCCTCAGCTACAGGAGCTGACCGTGAATACCCCACGCAGAATGAGATAGAGGAAGAGAAAGAACAAATAACTGCAAAACATCACCTGGGGGCAACTGAAAAGTAACATCCTGAATATGTGTGCTTGTAAAGTAGCTATTATTAGAGGTTGTGATTTTGTGTATAAAACCACCTGCATTTACTAGCTAGTTGCTAATAAGAAACTGCACCTTGTATTGTATAGATTTGTCACTTGTAAAAGAGATGTTAGAGTATGGAAATTTGCAGTAGCTGCTAGAAAATGCTAAAGCAAAAGCTAGAAAGATTTTAATACAATGGTAGTGTTACAAAGCAGGTGATGGAACAAATTTAAGAGGGTGGGAGAATTCCACTGGTAAGAAATTTCTTTGGCTAGTCCTTCACTGCCATCAGCATCTTCAACATGCTGCTGCACCCTGTAATAGTTACTCTGCTAATGTAAATGTGTGTGTGCCTTGCTGTAGTAGCGACTTGTTACTCGATGAAGCAGGTGAAACTGTGTATTGACAACAAGGTGCAAGGACTGAGGCTGACCAAATGCCTGCTACCACAATCAAGGGCAAGACTGGGTTGGCCTCTGTGTTTGCCACCAAGAAGAACCTTTAGCTCCGCTGTTGGCTGCAACCCAGCAGGCGTGGAGCGGTGGGGACACATGCCATGCCAGACCTTGATGTGAAGGATCAGAGAGCTATACAGCCTGTTATCAGAGAGCCATACAGCAGAAAAAAAGGGGCAGGCCCAGGCAGCCTCTAGTTGGCATATGTTGGAAATACAATCTAGCCCAGATCCCCTGCTCAAGTAGGGTCACCCAAACCATATATAAAACATAAAGGGGGAGTATGCACAGCTCTGAAGGAAGAATGTTGTCTGTATGCCAATCACACTGGCATAGTGAGAGATACTATGGCCAAACTACGGGAGAGACTAGAAAAACGAAAAAGGGAACGAGAGGCGGAACAGAATTGGTTCACATCCTGGTTCACCGATTCACCGTGGCTTGCCTCCTTAATATCTACCCTGATAGGGCCGGTTATAGCAGTCCTGATAGCATTGAGTTTTGGACCCTGTATATTGAATAAGCTGATGTCATTTGTCAAAAACCGTTTGGGAAAGGTTAACATCATGCTCATAGAACGCCAACAGTTGCTTTAGGAATGCTCTTGTTCAGAATTTTTGGTCTATCCCCAGTTATACCCTGTCATTCTCTGCTATCACTTGTTTTCACGTGCCTTGCCCGATGCGCTCTGCATCCCTATTTCAAGCATATATTGCGTTTGCAGAAACTGTTTTCAGTGTTGTGTGAAAGCATAAACCATATACTGTTGTTATACCCAGCTAGTTTTATTAAGCATAGGGAGGGGGGAAATGTAGGTAGTTAGGGCCTGGAGGCCGGAAGATACCGCGCTGTACGGAAAGATAGGGACCCCTGTTTAATAGCCAATAGTATGTAGCCTGTGATGTAAGCAGACGAAAGTGACGCTGTAAACCCAGAGTATATAACGCTGTGTTGCGAACTAATAAACGCCGTTTGCTGTCCACCACACTGGTATCTGTGAGCTGATGGGCCGAGCGGCCTGTGGTTGGTCGCCGTGCCGTTCCTGAACCAGGTCGCCACGCCTTGCGAAGGCAACATTAGAGGCCTTATAAGAAATCTTAAAAAACTTAATTTTCAGCACACAAGCAATGCTTCCTGCCTGACCTCAAAGCAATATAAATGGAGCAGGGAGTTGCTCAGAGGTTATTCAGCAAGGGAATATTTACAAGATTTCTCTCTACTTAGCCTAAGCTACTCAGTAGCCCTTTTGATTGAGTATGGGACAGAGTTGTAGTGTTAATTAAAAGCACCACCCATTCCAGCCGGCTTTACAGATTTGGCACATCCAGCATCCGTGTAAAATGCGTGAATCCCAAGTGTGACCCAGCACATATGTCAAACCCCAAACGGGTCCTCAGTGCGAAGGTCTGTAAGTATTTTTGTGGGTTTTGTGAGACTGTACAACCTGATCATTCCGATATAAAACCTAAATTAAATGCTCTACGAGCCAGTAGTATTAATAAAGTACCTTCAGATCAAGTGAAAACTCTCCCTATTGACCTAGCAAGATGACTATGCCATGTATGATTGTGGATAAGCATTGCCTCTTTGCCAGTACCTGACTCTCTACTCTGGGGTTTTGATTTATTAAGAGCAGGGGATGAAAAGTACTCTCATAGGGTTTGTACATTACCTTCCTGGACTGTACCTCTGGGTGCTAGTGAAGCATAGCTGGGAAACTGCATGTCCTTGCAAGAGACCCTCCAAGGCACAGGGCTGTCACTGGTGTCTGCATGTGCTGGTGTTTCAGCAGATGCAACTACTCTGTGAAATGTGGGATACAGACAAAAGCCAGAGTAGACACCACGTTCCCAAAATAAGTCAGAAAGGTAGATATAGTGCAAAAGCTAGTGAGATGCCTTCTAGGGGCAACTGGGAGTCATAGGAGACCCACTGCTGACTTGCCAGCAGAGCTGGACACGATATTTTGTCAGGATATTCTTTGGAAAGGAGGGAGGGAAAGGCTGCCTTCTCCGGCGGCTGCTGGGAAGAGCCCTGCCCTTACTGCAAGGCAGGAGGCAGAGCCCAGAGAACAGGGAGCTGGGTGTATGGCCAGAGGGTGTCCTCAGTCCCTTCAAGCTGCTGGTCTCTCTGCTCAGCCATGCACTGCACATAGGTGTGACCTGCCTGAAGAAGGGCTCCCCTGTTCATCACCTTGCCGAGCCAGCAGGAGGCCAGCGTCTCTGAGGGAAGCCCCCCTCCTGCACGAAGCAGCTCCAGGGAAGATGGGGCACCTGTGAGCCAGGATGGCCCGAGGCCCTTTGTGCACTGCTCGGGAAAGGAGGGCAGGCAAGCCTTGCAGACAAACCTGCTTCACTCCTCCTCAGTGCCAGCGGGAGGGCTTTCCCGGGGCTGTGATTCTGCTCTCCCTGTGACCCTGCGCTGCAGAAGCTGGAGCTGGACCACTGGGGCTTCTCCTTCAAGCCCCATTCCCCTGTCCCGTCCTTTGCAGCCCAGACCATGAGTATCTTTTTCCTAAGGGAGAAAGTTCCCTTCCCCACTAGTGGTGCAAGCTATGGAAGCATCGTTGGAAGAATGTTTGCAAGGAACATACTCAAGTCCAACTGCACACATGCTTGTTTTATTATTTTTCCTAAAGTAGCTCTAGGGCCTTCAGGTGGTGGTGTGGCTCGCCATCGTCCCATTGTCGTGGTTTAAACCCAGTCAGGTAGCTTGTTCACTCACTCCCAGTGAGTGGTGCCGAGCTGACAACAATCGAGGTCCGTGTCCGTCTCCCCCCCCTGCCTCCCCGCACCGGGGCTCTCCCCTTCCCCGCTCCCGGAGGAACGAGGAGGAGGATCGAGAGAGTGCAACTCCTACGGGTTGAGACAAAAACAGTCCAGCAACAAATCACCACCGCTACTATCAGCTACAACAATGATAAGGGAAAATAACAAGGGAAGAGAATACGATACCACCGGCCAAGAGAAACGAGCTCCACCCGGAAACCCCTGTCCTTCCGGGTCACTCCCAGTTACCCCTCACCCCGGGCATGACGTGCTGTGGTATGGAATACCTCCCCGGCTAGCCCGGGTCAGGCGCCCCGTCTCTGCTTCCTCACAGCCTCCCCTCCTCCCTGGCAGAGCATGAGCCTCACAGAGTCCTTGGTCAGGGTAAACATCACTTAGCAACAACCGAGAACATCGGCTTCACCAACACTGTTCTCAAACTGGAAGTCAAAACACAGCACTGTACCAGTTAACACAAAGGAAAAACATGACTGCTACTGCGGAACCCAGGACATTATCCACCCCTTATTCCATACCATTCACGTCGTGCTCAGATCCCACATTTTTCAATACACCATCGCTCTCCCACATATATACATCCATATACATACAGACCAAGAGGAAAAATCATTTTCTTAGTGCATGGACCAATCCCTATAATGCTGCCGAGTCCATTCGGTCCATGATGTTCAAAGTTCATTCTCTGTTGGGATGATGGCTGGAGGGAAGTCAGGGCCAGTCGCTGGTGACCTGGAGACATCTAGTTGATGGGCTATAAAAGCATTACACAGCAGGCAACAGCATACAATTGAGTTCACTGGCTGTTTTCCCCTAAAATCAAATCCCCTTGAGGTATACATCGGACTTCCCCATCTTCCCGCATTACCCACCAAGTATATCCAGGTCCCTGAGCAAAAGCAATCCCACGAGTGGGTTTGCCTTTACCTGAAGCAGGAATTACCCAGACTGTCTTTCCCAGCAAATTCTTCATATGCACCACGGGAACTTTGTCCCCCTCTACAATATGTAACAGTTCTGACTGGGCTGGGCCAGCCCTGTTGGCAGATCCTCTGGTGTTGACCAACCAGGTGGCCTTTGGTAAGTGTGTATCCCAATGCTTGAAAGTTCCCCCACCCATCGCTCTCAGTGTAGTTTTTAACAGTCCATTGTACCGTTCGATTTTCCCAGAGGCTGGTGCATGGTAGGGGATGTGATATACCCACTCAATGCCATGCTCTTTGGCCCAAATATCTATAAGGTTATTCCGGAAATGAGTCCCATTGTCTGACTCAATTCTCTCTGGGGTGCCGTGTCGCCACAAAATTTGTTTCTCAAGGCCCAGGATGGTGTTCCGGGCAGTGGCATGGGGCACGGCGTATGTTTCCAGCCACCCGGTGGTTGCTTCCACCATGGTAAGCACATGGCGCTTGCCTTGGCGGGTTGGTGGCAGTGTGATATAGTCAATCTGCCAGGCCTCCCCATATTTATACTTCAACCATCGTCCTCCATACCAAAGAGGCTTTAACCGCTTGGCTTGTTTAATTGCAGCACATGTTTCACACTCATGAATAACCTGGGCAATAGTGTCCATTGTTAAGTCCACCCCTCGGTCACGGGCCCATCTATATGTTGCATCTCTGCCCTGATGGCCTGAAGTGTCATGGGCCCACCGGGCCAAAAATAATTCACCTTTACGTTGCCAATCTAAGTCCATCTGAGCCACTTCAATCTTAGCCGCTTTATCCACTTGTTGGTTGTTCTGGTGTTCCTCAGTGGCCCGACTCTTGGGTACATGGGCATCTACATGACGTACCTTCACCACCAGGTTCTGCACCCTGGCAGCAATATCTTTCCACAGTGCAGCAGCCCAGATGGGTTTACCTCTGCGTTGCCAGTTGCTCTGCTTCCACTGCTTCAACCACCCCCACAGGGCATTTGCCACCATCCATGAGTCAGTATAGAGATAAAGTACTGGCCACTTTTCTCGTTCAGCAATGTCCAGGGCCAGCTGGATGGCTTTCACCTCGGCAAACTGACTCGATTCACCCTCTCCGTCAGCAGTTTCTGCAACTTGTCGTCCAGGACTCCATACAGCTGCCTTCCATCTCCGATGTTTTCCCACAATACGGCAAGAGCCATCAGTAAACAAGGCATACTGCTTTTCACTTTCTGACAGTTTATTATATGGTGGGGCCTCTTCAGCGCGCATCACCTCCTCCTCTGGTGACATTCCGAAATCTTTGCCCTCTGGCCAGTCCATGATGACTTCTAGAATGCCTGGACGACTGGGATTTCCTATTCGAGTTCGTTGTGTAATTAGTGCAGCCCATTTACTCCATGTAGCATCGGTTGCATGATGTGTAGAGGAGACCCTGCCTTTGAACATCCAGCCCAGCACGGGCAGCCGGGGTGCCAGAAGGAGCTGTGCTTCAGTGCCAATCACTTCCGAAGCAGCTCGAACCCCTTCATAGGCTGCCAGTATTTCTTTCTCAGTTGGGGTATAGCTGGCCTCAGATCCTTTATATCCCCGACTCCAAAAGCCGAGGGGTCGACCTCGAGTCTCCCCTGGAGCTTTCTGCCAGAGGCTCCAGGTAGGACCGTTCTCCCCAGCTGCAGTGTACAGTACATTTTTTACATCTGGTCCGGTCCGGACTGGTCCAAGGGCTACTGCATGAACTATCTCGCGTTTAATTTGCTCAAAGGCTTGTTGCTGCTCAGGGCCCCATTTAAAATCATTCTTCTTCCGGGTCACATGATAGAGAGGGCTTACAATCGAACTGTAATTTGGGATGTGCATTCTCCAGAACCCCACTGCACCCAAGAAAGCTTGCGTTTCTTTCTTATTAGTTGGCGGAGACATTGCTGTTATCTTGTTGATCACATCTGTGGGGATCTGTCTACGTCCATCTTGCCATTTTATTCCCAAAAATTGAATCTCCTGTGCAGGTCCCTTGACCTTACTCCGTTTTATGGCAAAACCGGCTTTCAGCAGGATTTGGATTATTTTCCTCCCTTTCTCAAAGACTTCTTCCGCTGTATCGCCCCACACAATAATGTCATCAATGTATTGCAGGTGTTCTGGAGCTTGCCCCTGTTCCAGTGCAGTCTGGATCAGTCCATGGCAGATGGTAGGGCTGTGTTTCCACCCCTGGGGCAGTCGGTTCCAAGTGAACTGGACACCCCTCCAAGTAAAAGCAAACTGTGGCCTGCACTCTGCTGCCAAAGGGATTGAGAAAAATGCATTGGCAATATCAATCGTGGCATACCACTTGGCTGCCTTTGACTCTAGTTCATACTGAAGTTCTAGCATGTCCGGTACGGCAGCACTCAATGGTGGTGTGACTTCATTCAGGCCACGATAGTCTACTGTTAGTCTCCATTCTCCATTAGACTTTCGCACTGGCCATATGGGGCTATTGAAGGGTGAGCGGGTCCTGCTGATCACCCCCTGACTCTCCAGTCTACGGATCAGCTGATGGATGGGAATCAGGGAGTCTCGGTTGGTGCGATATTGCCGCCGGTGCACTGTTGTGGTCGCAATTGGCACTTGTTGTTCTTCAACTTTCAGCAACCCCACAGCAGAGGGATCTTCTGAGAGACCAGGCAAGGTGGACAGCTGCTCAATTTCCTCAGTCTCCAAAGCAGCAATACCAAAAGCCCACCGGTACCCTTTTGGGTCTTTGAAGTACCCTCTCTTGAGGTAGTCTATGCCGAGAATGCATGGAGCCTCTGGACCAGTCACAATAGGGTGCTTTTGCCATTCCCTCCCAGTCAGGCTGATTTCAGCCTCCAGCACAGTCAACTCTTGGGATCCTCCTGTTACTCCAGAAATATAGATGGGTTCCACCCCTTGACAGCTTGATGGCATCAGGGTACACTGTGCACCGGTATCTACTAGAGCCTTATACTTCTGTGGGACTGATGTGCCAGGCCATCTGATCCACACAGTCCAGTAAATCCGATTGTCCCCTACCTCCACCTGGCTGGAGGCAGGGCCCCTCTAACAGTCGTCACAGCATTGGACACTTAAGTCATGTTGAAAGGGATTATTCTTCTTTATCACAGGAGCTGGAGTAAAATCAGCTCTTCCACTCCATCTGGGAAACTGATCACCAGAGACTGAAGCCGTAGCTCTCATGGGACGATCAGTCTTGGCCCTTGCTCCCCTCTTCAGTTCACTCACCCGTTCCTCCAAAGCTGAAGTAGGTTTTCCATCCCACTTTGTCATGTCTTCTCCGTGATCCAGCAGGTAAAACCATAGGGTACCCCGTGGCGTATACCTCCTGTATCTCCTCTCTTGAACAATAGGACGCCTTTTGTTAATAGCTGAGACGTGTGTTGGTACACGTGAGGAGCCGGATAAATCAGATAGATTGTCCTTCAATTGTTCGATGTCCTGGGACAGTTTTTTCACAGCTGAGATGATGGAAGGGGTGAGATTGTCTTCGAACTCTCGGAGTTTATGAACCATTTCATCCACTGTTAGTGGTACTATGTCATTCCAGGTTACTGTTGCCAATGAATGGGCATATGATGACGGTGCATTCCGTGTAAGTTTTCGCCACATGGGTCGTGTACATTCAACTTCATCTGGATCTATAGGTGTATCCCCGTTATTCGGCTTGATGTGATAGATCATCTCTACGATGGCCGATTCCCTCAGAGACTGGATGCCTTTGTCTATAGTATTCCACTTGGCCGAACGACTCGTAACATCGTCCTTGTACGGAAACCTTTCTTTCACAGCTGCCAAGAGCCTCCTCCAAAGGCTGAGGGACTTTTTCTCTCTTGCAATTGCTTTGTCAATTCCCCCTTCTCTAGCAAGTGATCCCAGCTGCTTGGCTTCTGTACCTTCTAGTTCGTGACCATCAGCCCCATTGTCCCAGCATCGGAGTAACCAGGTGATGATGTGCTCCCCTGGTTGACGGGTAAAATCTTTTCGCATATTCCGCAGCTCGGTTGAGGTCCGAGGTCGAGAAGTTACCTCTTCTTCTTCTTCTTCGTCATGTGATGATGACTCCTGATCAGATTCTGGACCGGGTGGTGAATTCATTGGTTCTTCATCTCGCTTCACCCTTTTTGCCTCCTTTTTGCTTGTTCTCTTGCGTACAGGGGCAACTGATATTGGTACGAATTGGTCCTCTGGTTTGGCTGCAGTGATTATCACTGTGGTTTGAGTAGCAACTGTACTTGTTACTGGGGGTGGTGTAGCTACTGTGCTTGGAGCTGGGGTAACCGCGCTGTCTGTTGCAGTTGAAGTTTGAGCAGCTGCTGTACTTGCCACTGGGACAGCTGTGCTGTTCATTGCAGCCAAAGTTTGAGTAGCGACTGTTGCTTTGCCCTCATATCCGCCGACATTCTTTTCCTTTTGAAGGTGCTGGATAGTGTTGAACAAGGCCCTGTAAGCATAGGCCAAGCCCCAGCACGTTGCCATGATTTGTCCATCTCTGGTATGGCCAGAATGACCACACACCTCATTTAAGTGTTTTACTAATTCTTCTGGATTTTGCAGTTGTTCAGTAGTGAAATTCCAAAGTACTGGAGGGGCCCACTGACCTAGATACTTGCCCATACTATCCCACACACCCTGCCACTCATGGCTGTCCAGCCTCAGGGAAAATCTCTCGGTCCTCCTACATCGTCGTTTGACCCAGACAAGACCCAAACCTGAATCTGCTTAACTCTTGAAATCAGTAGTGGGTAAAACACACTCTGTATGCGTGTTAGCATGGTGATTCCCATCACCATCAGCAAACAAGTCTCAACAGCATTAAAAGGCCATTCAAAAAATTCAAAACTCTCAAATGTAAATGGTCTGGGGGGACGACTAGGAGGGTAAAAGGATGTCTCCTTCCCAGGTTGAGCACCTGAGAAGGAGAAAAAAGATGTGTAATTGCTAAGCACCTCCATCATATACCTCCCAAAGTATAAAGGTGGTGACCACACTGGGAACATAAGCCAGATCAATTTCATGATCAATGATTCTATTGTATTACAAGTCATTACCATAAAGTACAATGGGATAAAAACCTTAGCCCAAGCCCCACACTTGAAAAACACTAATACAGCAAGTACCGGATGGACGTAAGATCATCATATACTGACCTGTACTCGGTACACACACGTGTACTCTGGATTTCCCCAGTTGCTCTGCACCTGGAATTTGATGTAACGAAAGGTCCCGGGAAGCTCCTTCTGTAAAGAAATGAGGGGACCCATCATTACACAGGTGGCCAGAGCCACAGCACATCACTGGGGCTCCTGACGAAAGGAGGAAGCAAGGGCAACCACATGTCCCCTTGCAAGGGCCATGGAGGAGCCCTCTGTGCTTGGAAAGCAAAGGCCCTGGAGCCTTGCTGAGCAGAGCATTGGGAACCGGAGGAGCACTGCTGCCTGGGCAGCCGTGGGATGTGAGGAGGGTCCCACTGAAGGTAAGATGTCTGCCGTCCTCACTCCCACCATCTGCTCTAGGGGGACTGTTTCCCTTCCCGGTCCCCTTCCCACTGCTGCTTTCTCTGTGCTGCCTGAAGAAAAAGGAAAGCCCTTAAGGTGGGACAGCTGTCTCTGGCAGCAAAGCAAAGCCCCATTTGGTCTCCTCTTGCCATCCTCCCCACAGGAGCGAGGAGCATGGGAGAGCAGGGGCTGGCTGGGGTGATACTCTGCACTCTTTCCTCCAGGGACTTGCAGACAACCCTGCCTTCTTCCCAGGCATTCTGCCACAGCTTTTGCAGTACCTGCACATGGAACGTCTGAGCGATCCCCTTGTGCACGTCGTAGGTAAATGTTCCCAAGAGAGTTTCTGCCATTGCCTCATCCACTCCCTTGAAGACAAGAGACAAAGAGAGTGGGTCAGGCTCCAGCAGGGCACCAGGAAAAGGGCATGCTGAGGCTGAACCCAGGAACCCTTCCCCACCTCCCTGGGCTCTAGCAGTAGTCTAGCACAGCTTAGGGTGATTGTGGGTCAGGGTGCTTTGAGCACATGCTCCAGGATCTTTGGGCATGAAGCAGAGAAGAAGCTCCCAGAGGCACAGAACCCCCACGTACCCATAGGGGATGGGGTGCTGAGAGGAGCTGACACAAGAAGCACATCTCAGGTATGGCTTTTCTCTTGGGCCAGCCCCCCTGAGAAGCACAAGGCAAAGACTTACAAAGACAGTAAACTCTCTGGGGGCGCTGCTGACTTCCCCAGAGGGAGACACTGCCTCGGAGATGTGCCAGACGGTGAAAGCTGTTGGCCAGATGTGCACAGGCAGCCGGATGACCACATGGCCCTGAGATCCATGGAAAGGCCAGCAGTTGCCAGGGGTAACACTGGGCTGAAACCAGAAAGCCATGACCATCAGCAGTAAACGCTGTGCACTTGGTCTGCCAACCTGAAAGCAAAGAGCTGAACCACAGGTCAGGCCTTCCCTTGTCATACCTGCAAGATTGTCACTGGAGGGTTTGCAAATAAGAAGGTGAATCGAGAAAGCAGCCAGGTCATCATGCCTTCCCCACCGTAACTCTTGGATGTCCTCTCCTCATCGATGCTGGCACCTGACATGAAGGCGGACAGAAGTTGACTAAGACAGCCCAGAGATTAGGAGGAGCAGCAGTGCATTACCATGTATTTCTCAGGCTTGAAAGCAGAGCTTAGCAGAGCCCGGGGCAGTGCCAGAGCCCGGGGCAGTGCCATACATAGAAGGATGGCAGGGATACTTTCTGTCTACATACCTATGGCTTCCAGAGCCCAGTCAGGCATCGGGACATAGTTCTCAAGCACCTTCTTAATTGCCACCTCTGTCAACTGCAGAATTTCCTGGGGAAGAAGTGGGAACGGCAAGATGGCAGTGAACACAAAGGCACATGGGGCAGTTCTGCATGAACACCGAGTCCTGGCACAGAGCCGAGGAGCATCTCTGTGTCGGACAACCCTAGGCAAGAGCTGTCGAAAAAAATGATGACTTTGAGAGTGCCGAGAGGAAGCAACAGGAGGGTGCCCAGAAAGGCAGCGAGGTCTGTGATCCAGCCCCAGCAGCTTTACCTCTATTTGCTCCTCTTGGACAGCATGGTCTTTGAGGACCTCTCTCACAATCTTCAGTACTCTTCCCCTAGCAGCATACACCTGAGGCACCTTCTGCTTGAAGTCCTGATTCACGCAAGCCTGTGAATTGCTGGAAGCAAAGGAAAAGCAGGTCTTGACCAGCAGCTGCCAGCCCCTGTGGGCAGGCTCCAAATGCCATGCAGAGAAGAGTCCCATGGGCTTGGGTCACCCCACATCCCCCAGCCCCATTCCTTCCTCCGGCTTACAGATGGCTCCCTTCCACCACCCATAGGGAAGATCAAGATCCCTGGACACAAGGCAAGGGCAGGCAGCACGAGGCCGTCTGAGACAGCTCCACAGGGTGTGCCCCTTAGGAAGAAAGCACTCTTACCCCAGTAGTTCCTGCTCAGCCCCGTGAGGCCTGGACGTCTGCAAAATTAACATACCGCACAAGCGTGAGGATCACTGCCAGGGCTTCCCAAAGGAGACTACCCTAGGTAGAGCTGGAAGAACATCCTGCTGCTTTGAGTCACTGGAGAAACCCTGACCCAAAGGTTGGGCTCCCTAACCAGCCACGTTCAGCAGAGAAGCTTTTGGGTCTCCATCTGAACCCCACAGCCCTCCAAGAGGTATGCAAGCAGCAAAGGCACCTTCTGGCAAAGTGCTCCCCTCTTCAGCCTGCCACCCTGTGGAGGTCACTGAGGAGGAGCCCCACTCTGAACTCCATCAAGCCACTGAGGAGACTGGAGGATGAGCACAGGTGCCTCCCCCCAACACCGCCCCAGTGGTGATGGGTATTTCTGGCCAGGCGCCCCATGTTCTCAGGGAAGGCAGGAGGGCAGAGCCATGGCCTTTGCAGATGCTGACTTCCCCACAGCAAGAGGCACTTACCCACAACACATCCTTGAGCCACATCGTCGCACCGCACCAGTAGCCAAGAGCTGTGAGTCACATTGTCAAGAGATGATTATTTTCTTCAGGAGCTGGTCCCTCTTCCCAGGACTGAGGGAACCAGTTTTGGTCAGGGATACTCACTGAACAGGATGGGAAGCAGCAGGAAAAGGAGCCTCAGGCCCCCTCTGTCCTTCTGGCAGGTGTTAAGCTGTCTAAAAGAGAGGGAGCGCTGTTGTTGCCAAAGCCCAGGGTTGGAACACCTATTTGCCAGGGATCCATTTAGGAGCTCGCTGGGCTACCACGTTCCATGTGTGCCCAGCACAGCTGCACGCCTGAGGGCCCAAGACCTGCAGGTCATTGAGAAGGTCTGGGACACAAAGACCTCTGGGCCTGACACAGGGACAACAGCTTGGCCCTGCTTGGCTCTCCCCAGAGAAGGGTCAGGGCTGTGTCCCCGGAATGGGGGTGCTGTGCTGCAGGGCAGCGGGGCAGACAGACCCCATGCTCTGGGGCTGCTGCTGCTGCTGCCGGGAAGCCAGGCAGCACACAAGGCTTGTGGCACGATCCCTCCCTGCTCTCTGGGCCCCCTTGCTCCCAGCTGCCCAACCTGGCTGGCATCTCTGCAGACTGAGCACACTGTCCGGGCACAGGGAAAAGCCCTCTCTCCTCACGAGATCCCAGCACCTCTTCGCTATGCGTTGCTAGCTGCTGAAAGCACTGCTTCGCACTGTCCCCACTGCCGCGTGGGGCGCTTTTCTAAGGGGCAGCTTTATGATCTCACAAGAGAGAACTGCTGGTGCCCATGGCAACCTCAGGGGGACTGCCCTGGACGCCTGGGAGGAACACACCCTGGGGGCAATTGGGAGTAACTGGGAACCCTGAGGGTAAGACAGAACCCTGCTGGGGCTATCTTGGAACCCCTTAGGGCAACCCAGAACAATTCTGGGAACCACTGGGAACCCTCAAAGGCAACCGAGAACCCTTCTGGGGCAACCGAGGGCTTTTCAGAAATGGGAGTAACTGAGAACCCCAAAAGGCTACCAAAACCCCTTCTGGGAGTAACTGGGAACCCCTGAGCACAAAAAGAACTCTGCTGGGGGTTACTGGGAACCTCAAGTGCAACCCCATGCCCATCAGGGGAACAGGCAGTAACTGAGAACCCCTCAAGAACCTGTAGTAATCCCTGGAGTACTACAGTAATTGGGGTAACTGGGATGTCCGAAAGGCAACTGAAAACCCTTCTAGGGCTAACTGGGAGTAACTGGGAACTCCCATTCTCTGGAGAGCCTGGTCTGGGACAGTACATGAACTACATCAAGGAGAGCCCTTCTCAGCTGCTTCATGAGGGCATTATGGCTGTAGAGACCCTCATGGAATCTCTGTTTATCTGTGTTTCCATGGGAGGGTCACTTTGCATGTCAGATGAGGATATTTTTTACTCCTGAAGCCATGAACTCCTGTTTTCCTCGCCCACACACCTGCCTCAGTCCGGAGTCTGGATAAGCCTGCTTTGCTGCCTGACTTTTTCCAGTGTGTTTGCACCTGTCTTACACAGGAGGTGTTTATCTTGCACAGGAGGGCATACTGGTGACTGTAGTATCCGCCTGGCAGCAGGAACTCCTTTCCAGTAGCTGAAACAACTCACTGGGAAGGAAAATGCCATAGCTGTACACCAGACTTGCCAGGAGCTCTTTCACTAGTGACTTCTGAATGGTCAAACCGAAGACCAAGGGACCCTGCTTTGTACCTGAGGTTGAAAGCACATGTACACATCACTTTGAGCAGCTGCTAAGCCAGACCAAGTTCTTTCCTAGCCACACAATAAATATGTATTTTTAGCAGCAACAAAAATAGATTTCAACAAATGTCCTTTAAAAACAGATAGCATTTCACATCCCTCTTTGATATTTAACAGGGATAAAAACTACTGGGCTCGCACTCCTGTTAGCGTGGGGACCCTAAATGTTGTGACCACACCTGTCGATGAAGGGTTGCATAACAGTATAAAGAAAATAAATGTCATGCAGAAATATCAATAACCGAAGGAGCCTTTCTTTTTTTTTGGCACAGGAACATTCAGAACCATAACAGTGCTGCAAATGAGGCTGTGCATGGAGGCCATTCATTCTAGGGATACATTCATCCCCCCCCTCCCCCTTTCCTTTGAGCCAGAGGCCAGACACATTCACCTTCCGATCATGCTGCAAAGCCCATCTCCCCTTTTGCTGGGTGCTAAGGGAGGATCAAGGTGTAAAGGCTGCTGCGTGGGAGACCGGGACCCTTGATGTGTTGTTATCTGCAGGACTTGTGTTAGCCAGAGATGACAGAGTGTGGGAAGCAGGTCTGCTATCACAGCCCTGCGCTGAAAACCAGCTACTGCTGAACCCAGGACAACTTGAGATAGTCAGGCAATGTCTTTCTGCCCAGCAACATGACAGAACTAGATGTCCCAGAATCATGGATGGTTTTGCATATTCTCTGAACATCCTGCTTCTTTATGTCCTCTTTCTCCCCTCATCAGAAACAATATGCATTCCTTACTGTATGCAGATGGAATAAATGAGAACACATGGCCAAATTTAACAGAGTGATAAAGAGTATTGTGATTACTGTGTTTTGAACACTTGCCATTGTCTAGTATGGTCATTCTACCTTCTGCTTCACTTGGCATATATTAGTTGTAAGCATTTTACTGAAAATCAGTCTTTCACTGCAGATAGTTTGTCATTGGAGCTAACTAGCTAAAAATCACATCTATGACAATAATACGTCTAAGATCATTAAAGCTAGAGTTACAAAGCATCTGCATAAATAAAATATATTTATTTCTTCATAATTCTATTAAAAATAAGCATCAAGAAACACTTGGGAGATTCTGTCCATCTTCTTACCCTCCTGGAAAGATTGTAAGACTTGTGATGATGGTTTTGGGATAGAAAAGATTGGTGATGGAGATACAAATGCAATACATTTCTGGCTTTTGCTATGCTTGCTCAGAACAGGAGGCTTTACATTCAAGGTTTTTCTGAGTTCAGTGATTAACTTTGGAGCAGCAGACATGCTTTCCTTGTCATATAACCATTTATAATGTTAGGTGAACATCCTTGCCAACCTCTTCCATTCTGAGGAATCCTGAACATCAGGCTGAGATAATTTGAAATATGAACTCCTATACAGTCTTGAATAACCACAGTGGGTTTCATGGTAAAGCCTGCCATCTCCAATTACTCATACTTTGGGAAATCGTAGACTTTCCTAAAGCAAGTCATATTTTCTTGATTTCAGTTAGCTTAATCCATTTGGTTTTGTATTCTCCCAGTGCCCTCTACAATCCATGTGGAAAAGTGTGTGAAGATTTTGAACCCAGGTGTTCCAGCTAAGCTGGAGGTACAGGATTGATCTGGGAATCTGGTGACTTTTCCAGTGAAAAAAACTGAAAATCAGAACTCATGGGTGGTATTCCATCTATACTACCTTTCAGTTTGTTCCATCTGTTTTTCAATTTATTCATCTTCTCATTTTCTTCTTTGTGCAGCATCTCATTTAAAAAGCCAGTTAAACCTCCTTGATTACCATTCCTCCTACACATGCAAAGCATTGTAAGGTAGATGCAGTCCAAGAAATTGTACTACAACTCATCTTGCAGTTTACTCACTAAATTTCACAAAAAGCTCTTGCTACCAAACAATGCTTTCTCCTTCAGAATAGAAAATGCCAACAATAAATAATTAAAGCCGTTTCTCCCCAACCCTTTTTTGCTTTTGTATGGACAGAGCTTCCCTTAAGGTCTGTCTCTTCCTCATCCCGTTCAATTGTAGTGTGGTGTGGCTGTTCTGCCCTGGGTCTGCAAAGTTGGTTTTATTCTTTAATGCTGACAGAACAATACTGGACAATACTTATTAATTCAGCATTGTTTCTTCACTGAATTAAGCTTTGAAATCAGTTGATCTTACACTCATAGCCCCACAGAAGGAAGAGGGAATAGCTAGTCTCCCTGTCTTGCAGGATGAGCCACAACAGAAGTATTTGCAATGCTTCTTGTTCCCTTGAAACTTGAGGGAAAATGAATCCATTCATTTGGAAAGGTATTTTCCTGCACGTGCAACCTCAGATGCCTCTTGGGACAAGAATCAAAACTCAGTTTCTTACAGTGCATTTCTTACCTACCTGGTGTCCAGACTGGACAAAATCCTGAGCAACCTGGTCTGCTT